TCTACCATTAAGGCAACAGGCTCTTTACGAAAACGCATGAGGACTCCAAGGAGATTGTTATTGAGGTCAGGACCCGACAAAAGAACCTGGTTGAGTGATACACCTTTGCATGGAGCGCTCGAATCGAAGACTACTCTGATCTGGGATGTTGGTCTGCGAGACTCTTCCTGTACCGTTGTAAGGGAGAAACTTGTATTACTTGTATTACAAGTTTAGACTTTAGTTTAGGGGTATTTAGATCCCACTGTGAGCCACTTTTCTTGTAAGCTGAATGGCAATTTCTGTATTATTGGATTTACTCCACGTGGTGCGTCTAGATAGGAAAGACCCATCAGATCGCCATCCGAGAAGGTTCCTTGAGATGAAGAGATCCCCCGAATTTGGTGCGGATTCGCTGCGCCGTCACGGAGATATGGCCGTTCAAATTTCAATGGTTTTCCATAGACTTAAGCTTAGATCAACTTAAATCGGGGAATGATAGCAGCCATAACCGCATGGAATCTGACTCATAATTATGAAGTCTTCATATAATGACTCTACAACCTTACATGCAGTACCCAACTCTGAACAGAGGAGGGCGCCTAACTATGACCTTTAAATTAGACTAAATATCAAATGTTCTTGTAGAACAGCACACTCCCCGTCTGGTATTTGGGGAATGCCAAACATATACTCCAGATTATCTGAATATTCTATTCAGAGTCTTCCTGAAGAAGGAGTACTATCTCGTTGATCGGTCTCAGGAACAACTTAGGTCCCTCTTTTCCAATGATTTTTACTTGAACCTTTCGAACTCTCCCATCTTGGCTGGGATAAGTTTCTGTTATGATGCCCACGGGCCAGTCATTCCGTTTGGATTGGGAGTCTTTGAGCAGAACTATGCATCCGTTTTATAGTAGAAAATTATGTTGTAATTTCTTATTTAAAAGTGACACAGAGTAAACTATTTTATAAAGTGCTATATACATAAATTTAACATTTATTTATATAGTGAAGCACATACTTAGATTTTCATCTAAATGCCACTTCTACCAGTGTGTGTGGTGTCACCACTCAGGTATTTTTCACAATTTAACCCATAAGCAAGCAACAAAAAAGAACTTTGCCATGGTCATATATCAGGGCATTGAGGGGAGGCGAGAGTCTTCTCTTCAATGCAAATTTATAGGGGTTATGAAATGGAGAATCAAAATGTTTTTGATATTTACACATGTAAGAGGTTAGTCTACAATAAAAAAAAAAACATACTGCAAGTTTCAAAACTCAAAACCTATTCCACAATTTAAAATATGAATTATTATTCTCTACCCTTCTGAAATGCTGGGATTTAAAGGGTTAGCTCCCCCAAAAATGAAAATTAGGCTGCGTTTTACTCACCCCCAAGGCATCCTAGGTGTATATGACTTTCTTCTTTCAGACGAATCCAGTCAGAGTTAGATTAAAAATTGTCTTTGATCTTTCAAGCTCTATCATTGCGGTCAGCGGGTGTTGCATTGCTTCAGTCCAAAAGAACTTAAATAAAAAGCGCCCATGCATCAAAAAAAGTGTCTCACACGGCTCCGGGGGGTGAACAAAGGCCTCCTGTAGCGAATCGATGCATTTTTTTAAGAAAAATATCCATATTCAAAACATAATAATCACTTTAACCTAGCTTGCGCCAACAGTTGTACACTGAAGCAGTTCCGGGAGCATGACGTATGAGGTCGGCATTGCACATGCACACGCGGGGGTGAGTAAAACACAGCCTAATTTTCATCTTTGGGTGAACTAACCCTTTAAGATCATGAGAATAGTGACGCCACGGTTCTGAACAACTCATGTCTGTCACAAAAGTGATACTGCTGTTGGATAAAGAAGATGAGTAAGACTGCCAAACTTAGATGTTGTTCTGTCAGTGGTCATAAGAAACTGTACTGCGCTACTGGCCACCACTGTGCAAAAAGCTTCTTAACATCTCAGTCTATACGCATATAATTCTGAAGTTGTAATAAACCGATTGTTCAATTAGGCTAATTTAAGTGTTTTTATGCAAAGAATAAAATGATCATTACACTGATGGTTGTTAACTTTTTAATTATATTATCCAAAGGTACATCAGTTAGCAAACCATTAGGCAGTAAAGGCTTTGGAGTCTATTTAAAGGGAATGATTGTGGTGGGGAATTTGGTCAAATTATGGCAGCAATACAGCTAATAATTGTGCGAAATCAAAGACGGAGCTGTCCACGGAGACATTTAGTGTATGTGCACTATTTAATATGTGAAAACTTTAGTCTCCTGGCTACCATGTCAGAAGCTGCAATTCTAAAATAAAAAATTAAGCAGCAAATTCAGCAGCTTTTAGATCTTTTTAGTCCGATTTTGTCGAAACAAACTCATCGGAGCTCAACGCCCCCTCAGCCCCAAAAATCAGTTGCTGGGGTCTCTCGTCTTTCTCTTTTTTCTCCTCCATAGTACCTGTTGATTATATGTTTTGCGTGTTGTGCTTTAGAGGGCTGCATCAGGATTGGGATCCTGTGGGCCACACGGGACCCAATGCAAATCTTGCAGGAGTAAACAGTTTGACCTTTATTGCAGGCGGTCAAAAAAAGCACAGTCCTGCCATCCCACCGTCCCACAATTTGGCACATAACAAGAATGATGGAGTTACATAAACACTAGGCTTGCTGCAGTAGTCGGCGCTACAGTGTTTGGTCTACAATTCTAAACTGAAAGCGTCTGCTCTGCTCCATACAGCCAGGGTTGCAAGGTCTACATGACAAAACTAGCCCAATGGCCAGTCAAAAACAGCCCAAAGTGGTGCAGTGACTATGTACTTAATATCAAAACTCAAAATATGTAATTTTCATACCTAAAACACATATTTTAGTCAACGTTATGCACATTGATCATAAACACAGCCAAGGCTTCCTACCAGTGGCCCTCCTTCACAAAATGTAACATTTAAAGTTACAAAACTTTAAAAAGCGGTTTAAGGTTCAAAAAACACATTATTTTCCACATAATGTACATTATTGTTTCTCCTCTATGCCCCGCCTTTCTGAAACGCGTTGTTTTTTTACAAAGCTCATCATTCTAAAAACCGAGGTGTGCTGTGATTGGCCAGCTATCCGGTGCATTGCGATTGACCGAATACCTCAAGCATGTGACGGAAATGTTACGCCCCTTACCATAAAAGACCAAGCAAAGTATTTTTGCTTTCGCAACGAAATACACAGCATCTTCACAACATGGTGGCGGCGGTGGCAGCAACAATAAAGTTATGCCTTCTTTCTTTGCATGAACATTTGGGCGGTGTTATGTAAATCTTCCCACACAGTGACGTAGACATGTGGGCGCGTGTTTAAACGAGGCGTTTTAGGAGGGCGTGGACGAGTCTTAATTTTATAAATCTCTTTTATGTTTGAGACTTGGATCTTATCTATTCACGAACAGCTTGTAACACTCCAAAGAGAAAGGAAAACTTGAAGAACTTTGCATCATATGACCCCTTTAACGCAGTTTTATCATAGGCAGAATGCAAAATATAATTAATTACAAGCATTTCAGTCAAATGTAATTTATGCAATATTTCAAACCTTTAGCCCACAGGGAAAAAAATCAACCCACTGCAACAGTTAAAAAGAAGCCCAATTATGTGGGGAAAAAGGCAGACTTGACAACCCTGCATCCAAAACGAGCTGCAGGAGTCAGAGTCACGGGTCAAGAGTAATGAGAGATGACTGATAAGACCATGGTGGAGGATTTGCTGCTCCACAGATCCTGAGCTCATTGACAAATATCTTATCTCTTTACACAGAGTATGCGAGATCACAAAATCAAAAGTGAACAGTGAGCACTCATTCAACAGTGATTTCAATACCCCACATTTTGATAGCAGCTCCCTGATGCGCGAACATTATATACTGTACAATATTAGTGTTTAGACGGGCAGGAGTGGGCGAGAAGGGAACACACACAATGCGGGAGCAGGCAGTAATGGTCAAAAATTCAGCGGGAGCACGATTAAGAAAACAATACCGCACAGGGCTCTACCATCGATATCAAAATACTGAAGTTTATTTTTAATGACATTCCTGAGCGACCGAAAGATAACATTTTCATTTGTTCTTAACATTTTAAAACTGCTTTGTGAATTACTGCAAATCATTGTTTTGAGTGTTGATCAAATTTGTACACATCTGCGTACATGTAGTGGCCTTTGTAATATGACAAGTACAGGAAATTAAGCAAACAAAAGCAATTACCACACTGAAACAGACTGTTACCATCATTGTGGTTGCATTGTTTCCACTTCTTCCGACTCAAGCTCAAACATATATGGCTCTATCACAGTATTTACCATCTCGGAATATCAAAACAAACAACATGTTGTGAAAGAGGGCATGGATATGGTGTGATGAAGTTAGCCAATCACAGCAGTGGCTGTTTATTTCCATTTCTCCAAGAGGTAATGCCCCTTGAAGCTGAGTGTTTTTCACAGAGAGTAAAATTGTGGATGGAAAATTATCATTTTTACAAATATTGGACCTTTATTGGTACAAAATACACTTCATAGAAGTTTATAAACTAACCTCAAGAAACATCTGAAACTGCATAAACATTAAGAGTTGCTTTGTTTCCGCAAATTTTTTCCACAGTGAAACATATTCCACACTGATGATATAAAACAGTTCTTTCTTAAGTGAATCTTCATGTAGTAATTAAGGGTTCCATTATATCTGAAAGTCTTCCCACACTGACCAAATATAAATGGCTTCTCTCCAGTGTGAATTCTCATGTGGACTTTAAGGCATCCATATTGATCTACACTCCTCTCCAGTGTGAATTTTCATGTGCTTGTTAAGGATTCCTTTTCAGCTGAAACTTTTTCCACAGTAGCTGCGTTTCACACGTCTGCGGTGCAGTGTGGCTCTGATACGGCCACAGATGATGATTGAGGCCACTCTAGTCAATGCTTGTGTTTATTCCAGCCGCGCCACGCATGTTTCTGAAGCGGTTTTCTGTGCTGCTTCTGTAAAGATACATGCATACGCCTCCTTTGAATAAATATAGCCAAAATCCCACCAAAATCCATTGCCATGACTTATTGCGAGGCAAAATTTACGTTTTAGTCGCATAACATTGGTTAATGGAAATGCCGTCATTTCGCAATACTTTTTATCGACATTTTTAAAACATTGCCAAAGTTTAGCGCAAATCTGTAATGGAAACGCACCTATTGTTTGCAGGTGAAAGGCTTCTCTCCAGTATGAATTGTCATGTGGACTTCAAGGTGTCCTTTTTTAGTGAAACTCTTACCACACTGCATGCATTTGTAAGGCTTCTCTCCAGTGTGAACTCTCATGTGGGCTTTAAGGTTCCCATGTTGATCAAAACTCTTTCCACACTGAGTGCACGTGTAAGGTTTCTCTCCAGTATGAACTCTAATGTGGACTTTAAGGTTCCCATGTTGATCAAAACTTTTTCCACACTGAGTGCATGTGTAAGGCTTCTCTCCAGTGTGAATTCTCATGTGGACTTTAAGGTTCCCATGTTGATCAAAACTCTTTCCACACTGAGGGCATGTGTATGGCTTTTCTCCAGTGTGACTTCTCATGTGGACTTTAAGGTTTCCATGTCGTTTGAAACTCTCTCCACACTGAGGGCATGTGTAAGGCTTCTCTCCAGAGTGAATTCGCATGTGCCTGGTAAGGCTTCCTTTTATAGTGAAGCTCATTCCACACTGTTGGCAGGTGAAAGGTCTCTCCCCAGTGTGAACTCTTAAGTGATAATTAAGGTTTCCTTTTCGGTTGAAACGCTTTCCACACTGTTGACAGGTGAAAGGGCTCTCTCCAGTGTGAACCCTCATGTGGACTTCAAGGTTTCCATGTTGATTAAAACTCTTTCCACACTGAGGGCATGTGTAAGGCTTCTCTCCAGTGTGGATTCCCATGTGCCTGGTAAGGCTTCTTTTTACAGTGAAGCTTATTCCACACTGTTGGCAGGTGAAAGGGCTCTCTCCAGTGTGAATTTTTATGTGGACTTTAAGGCTCCCATCTTGCTTTCCACATTGAGGGTATGTGTAAGACTTCTCTCCTGTGTGAAGTTTTAGGTGAGCCTGAAGGTTTCCATGTTGACTGAACCTCTTCCCACACTGAAAGCAAGCAAAATAATTTCTTGTTCCTATCTTTCGAACTTTTTTTTGTGAGAAAGTATTTTCAGTCTTTGAGTAACTAAAAGATTCATCTTCAGTAATGAAATCATGATATTTCTCATATTGATCTTTCTCTTCTATATGATTCAGTATGTCACTCTCCACTTTCAGCGGCATCAGTTCTAAAGTGAAAAAGAAACACAAAAAAGTTAACCCCAGTTTAATGGCACAAAGCAAAAGACATCAAAACTAAAAACATACAGCTAGAACCTGTACTCACTAAGCCATGGGTTTTCAACCATGTTCCTGGAGCCACCCCAACAGTGACCATTTTGTCTCTAATCAAACACACCTGATTGAGGTCATCTGATCATTAGTAGAGACTCCATGGCCTGAAATGGGTGTGTAGTTCAGTGTAGTAGGCTGCAGTCTTAAGGCCTTTTCACACTGAGCACGATGCGAAAAAGTTTGGTGAATTGCAGACGAACGGTAATTCCACAACGAGCACGAAATGATTGATCACCTTCAGCTAATTCTCACTTACACGCTAGGGGGCGCTGACCAACAATGCATTTTTCCTGTTATGTATCTCGTATATGGAGTTAACATCGTCCGCTGCTCAATATACAACATTAAATTAAGATAAATAAAGTTTGGTTTTACACCAGAAACAAACTATCTATAATGCTTACAAGAATACATCTTAAAATATAAACCTGCTTATCATTTGTCATAAACATCATTTATTGTTATGGAAATACTATGAGCTGCATAACAACACGTACAGAAAATATATCGTCACAATCGAATGTCTATTTACTTTGATATTTCATGTGTAGAAAAATGTTTCTCTTTTTTTCACACAGAAGGGCAGGAGATATGATCACATGATTGACAGATCTGAATGCTCTGATTCAACACTCGTGCACGTGGAAGAAAACGGGCAGTGCTCTTCAGATCACATAATTCAGTGGGAAATGAACAGAAATTATATTCTGTATAAAGAACGTGAGAATAAATTGGCTCTCAGATACTAATGATAACATCAACTCTCTTCTCTCTTCTTCTGTGTTTGTTTACACTGGTTTTCGGAAAAGTGCCACAACTCTCGCCCTTTTTTTTTTGCGTTCAGTGTGATTTGGTGTCCATGTTGTGTTTTAAATTCAAGAACATACACATTGACCAAAATGACTGCGTGATGACAAAGGACTTTCTATTTTTGTTGGACTGTTTTAATCTCAAACAGTTTATTAGCGGCCCGACACATAACAAAGGTCACACATTAGACCTTGTGATTGCAAATGATGCAATTGTTTCACAGCTGTCCTCTGTTGACACTGGGCACTCAGATCACCTGGCAATTTTCTTTAACCTGGATCTGTCTCTCCCTTGTACTTAGTGGGAAATGAACAGAAATGATATTCTGTATAAAGAACATGTGAGAATAAATTGGCTCTCAGATACTAATGATAACATCAACTCTCTTCTCTCTTCTTCTGTGTTTGTTTACACTGGTTTTCGGAAAAGTGCCACAACTCTCGCCCTTTTTTTTTTGCGTTCAGTGTGATTTGGTGTCCATGTTGTGTTTTAAATTCAAGAACATACACATTGACCAAAATGACTGCGTGATGACAAAGGACTTTCTATTTTTGTTGGACTGTTTTAATCTCAAACAGTTTATTAGCGGCCCGACACATAACAAAGGTCACACATTAGACCTTGTGATTGCAAATGATGCAATTGTTTCACAGCTGTCCTCTGTTGACATTGGGCACTCAGATCACCTGGCAATTTTCTTTAACCTGGATCTGTCTCTCCCTTGTACTTCATTTTCATATACCGTTCATTTCCGTAAATGGAAATCAATTAATTCGTCAGATTTTGCAGACTCTGTTGTTTCCTCTTTGTGGTCTTCGAACATACACATTGACCAAAATGACTGCGTGATGACAAAGGACTTTCTATTTTTGTTGGACTGTTTTAATCTCAAACAGTTTATTAGCGGCCCGACACATAACAAAGGTCACACATTAGACCTTGTGATTGCAAATGATGCAATTGTTTCACAGCTGTCCTCTGTTGACACTGGGCACTCAGATCACCTGGCAATTTTCTTTAACCTGGATCTGTCTCTCCCTTGTACTTCATTTTCATATACTGTTCATTTCCGTAAATGGAAATCAATTAATTCGTCAGATTTTGCAGACTCTGTTGTTTCCTCTTTGTGGTCTTCCGTCAGCTTCTCTTGAAGATAAGATCTTGCAGTTGAATACTGTTCTTGCCTCTAATTTGGATTCTTTTGCTCCCTTGAAGTCTCGCTGTGTCTCTTTTGCTCGTTCTGCCCCTTGGTATAATGACGACTTGCGCTCTAAGAAAGCAGCTTGCCGTAAATTGGAGCGCAAGTGGCATGACTCAGGACTGAATGTGTTTTCAGTTGTGTCAAGCTTAGAAAGACCACATGGGGGAATATAGAGCTGAAATTGAGTCTACCAGATCTGTTTTTCTCAGATTATAGATAATAATCAAAGTAATCCCAGGCATCTCTTTCATACTATTAACAGACTTCTCAAAGTTAATGTTTGCACTTCTCTACCTGTTTCAAATAATTGTGTAATGATTTTCTTTATTTCTTTAGTTCTAAAATTGACAATGTCTACAAACTTATTCAAGCTGCACCTGTTTCATCTTCAACAGTTTGCCTGTCTAGTTTTCATGGCACATTGTTTACAACTTTTTCTCAAATTGACTCGGAGCTGCTTACTAGGGAGGTATCACATATGAAAGCTACCACTTGCATGCTTGATCCCCTCCCTACAAGCTTATTTAAGTCTTGTTTTGACTCTTTGTGCCCAGCTGTTCTCAGCATTGTTAATGATTCTCTGCGTACTGGTGTTGTACCAGCAGCATTGAAAACTGTTGCTGTAACACCTGTTCCAAAGAAGCATAATGCTGATTTGGATAACTTAAATAAACCCCTTTCACACTACACATTGGTCCCAGAAAATTGCCGGAGTGCCTTCTGTGTGAACGCAAACACGTCCCGGGATTGATTCCGGGATCGATCCTGGGTTGGGGACCTAGTAACATTGCCGGGTTCAGTCCCGGAATGAGCTCCGTGTGAACAAAAGCCAGAACCAATGCCGTAAAGGGTGTCTTAGTGATGACGCATGTTATCGTGCGACTCTTTTACTGGGTGTTTTGAAGGCGGATCAACATTCGCGACGAAAAAATATGTGCAAACTGTAATGAAGCAGAGATCAGGTAGCTCCTCACTATCCGCGCTGAAGCTGAGATCATTCGCCATCTTAAGTGAAACAGAACGCGTCACATTACACATCACATCGTAATGTCACGTGTCTTTACGGATCTTTATGGTATGTGTGTGAACACACACACAGATTCCGGAAAATCACTGGCAGTGTGAATTAACCACAGTCAACCGATCCCGGGACAAATCACGGGACACATTATCTGTGTATTTTCCGGAATTTCTGTGTGAAAGAGGCTTTAAATTTTTGTCGCCCTACATAAAACCTTCCATTCCTTGCAAAAATTTTAGAACATGTTGTGGCTTTGCAGCTGCACAGTCATCTCATAGTAAATAATCTTTTTGAGCCCCTTCAGTCTGGCTTCCGAAAATTTCATAGTACTGAGACCGCTTTGGTCAAGGTCACCAATGATCTGCTAATAGCCTCAGATTCTGGTTCTCTCTCTGTTCTTATTCTTCTTGATCTTAGTGCCACTTTTGATACTATTAATCACAACCTTTTACTCAATCATCTGGAAACTGTTTTTTGTGTTTCTGAGACTGTTTTAACCTGTTTTAGATCTTACCTCACTGATCGTCAACAGTTTGTCTGTATGAGTGGTTTTTGGTTTTCAGAGATGGGCTCTGTCCATACGGGTGTTCCCCAAGGTTCAATTTTGGGCCCCTTACTTTTTAGCATTTACATATTTCCACTCGGACTGCTTCTAAGATAACTTGGGCTTAATTATCATTTTTATGCAGACGACACTCAGATTTACAGTGGGTACGGAAAGTATTCAGACCCCCTTCAATTTTTCACTCTTTGTTATATTGCAGCCATTTGCGGGTCTGAATACTTTCCGTACCCACTGTATATTCATTCTAGGCCTGGTCAAATTTGGATGTTCTTTTTTTAACACATTGTATTTCTGAGATAAAAATATGGAAGTCCGAAAACATCTTGTGTCTTAATAATGATAAGACTGAGGTATTGCTCATTGGCTCCTCCCATCAGCTTCATAAAGCTGGCTCATTAATTTTAAACATTGATGGCTCTGTTTTGGAGTCACAAACTAAATAAAAAAATTTAGGAGTTATATTTGATTCGAGTCTGTCTTTTGACTATCATGTGCAGTACACTGTTAAGAACTCATTTTTTCCATCTCAGAAATATTGCTAGACTCTGTTCTATGCTATCCCTCTCTGTGACTGAAAGGCTTATTAATACCTTCGTTTTTTTCTCGCATTGACTACTGCAATGCACTTCTTGTTGGGGTTCCTAAAACCACACTTAACAAATTGCAATGTGTGCAAAACTCAGCTGCTAGGATCCTGACTGGTGCCAGGAAAAATTAGCATATTACACCAATTCTAAAGTCTTTGCACTGGCTCCCGGTCAGGTTCCGAGTTGATTTTAAAATCCTTATGCTCACATATAAGGCACTGTATGGTCTGGCCCCTCAATATCTGTCTTCACTTTTAACTTTATATACACCCAAGCATCATTTACGGTCCTCACAAGCTGGTTTATTGGTAGTTCCACAGACACGGTTGTGCTCTGTAGGGGACAGGGCTTTCTCTTCCTACGCTCCTAGGCTTTGGAATGCACTCCCTCTACAAATTAGAGATGCACAGAACCTAAGTATTTTTAAATCTTACTTAAAAACTTTTTTCTTTTTTTTTTTTTTAAGTAAACTTTTTTAGGTTAGCTTTTTCTTGACTGTTTTGATTTTTATATCTTAGTTTGTTTTTAATTGGTTGTCATGTGTGAGTTGTATTTTTACTTGTTTTATTATGTAAAGCACCTTGCGAAACTGTTTTAAAAGGCGCTATATAAAAATAAAGTTATTATTATTAAAGTTATTATTGTTACCAGATAGTTAACCATATGCCGCAGTGTATGGACTAGTATGTGGGTTTTTAGATTTTACAGATGGCGGTGTGGAAGGTTCAGGTACATAGTATGGTGGCGGTTTTTCTACTATGGAGCAATATTCTCTAGCTACATAAGCAGCGACGTGTTTCCAGTCTGGACCCTAATCCCAGACTTTTTTTTTATTTCCTTCCACACATCGTAACTTTTGGTCATATATTTATAGTATGAATATAAATATTAATTTATATTTACGGTTTGTGATAAACCTTTTATAATCCGTTCGATAGGACATATAAACACTTGATTGGATTGAAACCGAAACTGGCAAGTTTTGCACATGTGCAATGAAGTAGAAATGGCGCAATGTTATTCAAGTGCAAAAATATTCCAAGCGCAAGAAGACGTGAAAGAACTCATTTCGGTACATAAAGCAGTGTGCCAGTGGCTTTATATTTTAATATATATTTAATTTATACAGTGAAGAACATGCAGTGTTATACATTTGTGTTTTACTTTTGATTAATACTATATTCAATTTCTATGCCTTAAAACTACTGTTAGACCTACCTAAAAGCATTATTTAATTTGTATCTTTGTTCTATTGTATATATTTGTGATTGACATATTCCTTAGGGTTGAGCCCTGTATAGTTTGACAGCTATACAGACAGCACTTGGGGGAAAAAGCAGTCAATTGTTTTCTGAAGTAGCAAAATGTATACTTGATATTTAAAGCAATAATTCTGGAATTATTTGTTAATGTGCTTATTAAAGAAATATGTAATATTCTATAATAATAGGTCAAAAACGAGGTAATGTTGTTGATAAGAAATATTTGATAGCAAAAATAACTTCTGAAGGTTGTCATGGTGTCTTATGTATGTATGTATTTATTTTTTTATCTTGTGCCTCTCTTATAATGTTGGCTTGTTGAATGTTAAATAGACCCAATCCATTTTCAATGGAAATTATTTGATTATGCAGCAATAACTAGTATATCTTAATGCATGTGTTCTTGCTCATTTAAAACATGATCTAAACAGTAATATATTTTAATGATTAAAAGTCAAATAAGTGAGCAAGTGACAAATATTAATAAATATCCATATCGGAATTAGCCAAAAATCTATGTTTGTTAAAATCGATATTGTATTGGCCAAAAAGTACCATCTGTAGATAGTCTGAAATAAAAGCTTAATTAAGGCTCTTATATGACATTCTTCAAAAATAATTATTTCTGAAGAGGGAAACATTTTAATAAGGATCACATGACTGAGTTCAGATTAAAGGGGACATCGGACGCAAAATTCACTTTTACATGGTGTTTGCATATAAATGTGTCTTAGCAGTGTGTGGACACAACCACCCTATAATGATAAAAATCCATTCACTACTTATTTTTGAATCCCCAAAAAACCTAAACCGCCATTGTCCCCCATTTTCTCCGCGCTCGAGCAGCTGTAGCAAAAACAATGACTTGAAAGCAATGCAGGTGTTTTGTACTTGGATGTAAAAGTGAACATAAGAGTCTTCATTTTCTTCCGACATCAGAATTTGTGAAATGAACATTACTTGGGCACATTCACTTCTGCTTTGTAATGTAGACATGCATTTTCTGTAAAGCTGCTTTGAAACAATGTGTATTGTGAAAAGCGCTATACAAATACATTTGAATTGAATTGAATCAGAGCCACTGAGGAAGCAGAAGCATTTTTTATGGTAATGCGACACCAAATACACCTGAATTCGTTCATTTATTTATGATTATTTGCAAATCGCCTTTCCTCTTCCATGGAAGAGATGGGCGGGGTGAGCAGAGCTCATTAGCATTTAAAGAGACGTGCACTGAAACTGGTCGCTGTGATCAGAGCTGTTTTAGACAAGGTAAAAAGAATGTTGTTTTACATGACCACTGAGGAATTTTTAACCAAAGTATGTTACAGACATTTCATGAAGACCCTAAAGAATCATACCAACTTGTAGAAAATGGGCATCCGATGTCCCCTTTAAAGAATGGAAACCAACCTGTTTCCTCAGTATCTTCTTCTTTCATTCTGAATGTCTCTTCAATCTTCATGTCTTCACTCTCCTCTTTAATAAACGCCATCTTTATAATAGGATGTGACAAAGATCTCAGGTGCTTCACCAGGAATTTTTGTGTTTGGAAACTGCATGTTAAAAAAAAAAGAATGAATAATTAATAGAAAGAAAAATAAATCCAAACTAAATCTCTAGGTCCGTCTCAACTGCTCAACTAGCTCTCTAGTTAGCACACTGGCAAGGGGGGTCAGTCAGAGTGCTAGTTAATGGCCTTAAATGACTAACAAAAACTACAACTACAAATTAATAATAAAAAATAATAATAATTATGCAGACACTGCATATGAGTAGTTGACAAATATGCAGTACATTTTTGTAAAACACCATTTTTAAGAAAAAATACATATATTTACGTAACGTGAATTCTGATATTTGAGAAAATATAAGGGGTTATACGTACTTTTTCAAATCTTTTTTTTTATTTATTTTTTACTGAACATTAATGGTAAATGTGTCCAATGGTGTGATATACCAAAAATTAAGAAGAAAAAAAAAACTCTTAATAATATACAAATAGCATGAGAGAGATTTATCTTCATTGTTAGACATTTATTTTCAAATAGTGTTATTTATATAATATGAAATTATGAATAACATATTCATATGACTAACATAAGACAAACTTTGACGAGACAAACCTTGCTGCCATCCTTTCAAAATTGCTGAAAATTATACCATTTTAAGATGAGTGATGATTATATTTCCCCTACTACAATACTCAACTGTTCTTTAAGATATTTCGAGATAAATACAAATCTGCGGTTCTTTTATGTGTGTCTCACCATAGGACATTACGTCACACTAAAGGACAGAGATGGTCGTTATTGCTTTAAAGAGAAAGTGAGAAGTAGTACATTTAAGTATTTTTATTTAACTTTGAATATGTCAAAGAAGAAAGAAATTTAAATTTTGATACAAACAGTATGAACATGTTTTTTAATCAAAACAAAAAATAATTTTCAACAAAACTCAAGTCATTCAGTAAGTTACTGACAGTCTTCTAGAGCCTCCCTACTGCACGGCACAGCTAAATATGATTGATATTCAAACTATAGCCTATTTAATAAGATGTGAATGATTTTTTTAAAAGTATATGGCTGCTCTTTTTAAAGCCTCATTTCGATTCTGTTTACTTTCTGCATCTTTCTCTTAGTATCTCCTCCCTTCTGCGTGGATCCCTGTTAATTTTCTCTCTATTCTGTGTCCTCTCTCTCACTCATTTCTCTCTCTCTATTATTTCTGTCTCAAAAACAAAGTATCACATTTTATACTTATTTTCATGACACTTTATAACAGTACAAGTTTTTTGCAAAAACATCAGAAAATATTTAAATGTAATTATTGCATTTAAGAACACTGAAAATGTTCAAGAAGAATAAAACATTTTTTAAAAAGAGTTAAACAAGATAATTTAAAATGCTTCTTAAAAAGACCTTGTCCTCTTGTGTGACAGTACAGGTGTCACACTACTGGACATTATCTGTCATACCAAAGGATGTTTCAGCCTTTTGTGTCAGATAATGGCCTTGCTATTCATTGCTAACCTGTCATAAGCAGTTAGCAAGACACATTTCCATAATTTTTCATAATTATGTAGTTTAATTTACAGTTTTTAATAAAAAAACAAATTTGTATTATATATATATATATATATATATATATATATAATTTAGGGGTGTCACACCAAAGGACAACAAAATGTAACACCTTTATAGTGGTTCCAAAAAAGTTAAATATTTGAATTCTGAGACAAAAACTTATTATGTGCACAGGGGGCTTCATTAACATGACCAGAGATTGTCTTATTATTGGGAGATGAGAGGGTCTGCATTACCAAAGACTATAGACAGGGGTGCACATACGTTTTTCAGCCTGGTTCTCATATGAGAACCTGGAGATTTGGTTTGGTCCTCACACTGTATAGTGTAACCCAGGGCTGTCCAAACTCAGTCCTGGAGGGCCGGTGTCCTGCAGATTTTAGCTCCAACTTGCCTCAACACACCTGACTGGAAGTTTCTATGCCTAGTAAGAGCCTGATTAGCTGGTTCAGGTGTTTTTAATTAGGGTTGGAGCTAAACTCTGCAGGACACCAGCCCTCCAGGACCGAGTTTGGACAGCCCTGGTGTAACCCATTAAATACAAATATAAAAAAATGTATTAATCGTAGTGATAATATTGTTGCACTTTATTTAGTTAGTTTTTATAAATAAAATAATAAAGTGTGATAATACTCTTATATTTTAAAATAAAAAGGGAGTATTAAATACAAATACAACTATTTTATAGTAAACTTAAAAATAAAATGAATTTTCATCATTTTCAAACTTAAAATCAGCAGGCTTTTATTTTGGCGGGTTGCCGGCAAGTAAGTATATGCGCTTCCGGGTTTAGCGCTGCCGACTGAAGCGCTTCAGTGAACGAAATGTCACAGTTTTGCATTGTGCTTTGAACACTGCAGCGGGTAGCCTAGATTTATTTTTCTATTCAGTTTGAATAGAAATCTTATACAGTACTACAGTTTGTCGATTTAAATGGCAATTGTGCATGGACCCTTTTCGCAAGACTGTGATGCCGCGTTTAACGGTCATCAGCATCGTAAATCCTAGAAAGTTTTTCATATTTGTATTTTTTTTTTTTAAATGTATGTACATTTATAACACTATTCTTTGTATTATATTACCTTTGCATCAAACTACAAAAAACTAGTTTACGCTAATGCGAGGGTGTTTCTAATGCAGCGTCTACGGGAGGGACGGTAAATTTGACATCGTTCTCTCTTCTGACAGCCGTTATCAGTCTCTCTCAATTTTTTTCCTTTTATTGAAAGCCAGGAAAACACTATCGTGGAGTTTTTCTTTTGCTATTTGAGCAACTGGGAATGCAAAAAATATATTTGTGGTCCTCTCCCATTCACTGCTCTTCAAGTTTACCCAACTATGACGACTTCCGCTGCTGAGAAACCCGGAAATGTGAAAAGTGTCCATTAACCGCTGTCAACCATGTCGGTACGCAAATGCGCTGTCAGAACTTATTTACAAAGCGCATTTTTTATTTTGGTCGCGCATGCGCACCTGCATACCACTTATGTGCACCCCTGACTATAGAACACCCTTATCCTTAAAGGGACTTTGGTATTACTTACTTTCGGAAAAAGCGTAACGGTCAACTTGGATCACGTGTGCCTTAATAACCAATCACATTACAGCCTTGACGTCATTGAATCTCAATCGCCGTTTACGGATCCCATAGGAATGAATGAGAAGTGCCGTAAGCTGAATCCACCTGTCGCAAAAAGTCAGTGACTTCTCTTATAAAACAGCATTTTTTTCGGTGTAAACTGTAAAAATAGTTCAATAGTTGTTTAGTGTAAAACATGTTGAAGATTAGCCGATAGGCTCTCGATTCATTAAATGATAAGTGGTTTCCTCTAAAAAGCGGAAACGTTCGCATTAGCTGTTATGATTTTTTGGCTAAAGGTTGCAGGCTTGCCTTCTAGTAGCTTTTACATGACCTTGAATGGGGTCCTTCAACTAATTAAAGTTGTCTGTGGAATTGCCCGATTTAAAATCAGGATATGGTGTCACACCAGAGGACGTGGTTTTCAGTGACAAAATGTACCAAGTTCCTACACTTTTGGAATTAGCCTATTTGGATGAAAAAAAAATTATTGCCATTTACCGTATTGACCCGAATATAAGACGATGTTTTTTTCTTGGAAATACATCTGAAAAAATAGACACTTGTAAAATCATGCCCGAGGTATTTATTAACATTTATGCTTTTCTTTTTAATGTATAAAAGTTGTATTAAACCATGCTTGAGACAGTCACGCCATAGTACAATTTTGAGATTTGGCTCAAAAATGTGAAAAATCTAATAACAAAGCAGTTTTTATAACTTTTATAACAGGTCCATTAAGACAAAGACATGTTTAACCATTTATTGCATTTTAAATTAAGACAATACTATTTTTATATTCATTGTTATCTTGTGTGACAGTGAAAATGTCATGCAATGTCAACAAGCCATATTTATTTACTTCTAGACTGCATTTAATAGATTGCACTGTCATGAAAACATGTGTTATTATTAGTCTGTAAAGGTTCTCGTGTTCAGTGTTCTGTGTTCTGTGTTCAGTGTTCAGTGTTCAGTGTTCTGTGTTCTGTGTTCTGTGTTCAGTGTTCAGTGTTCAGTGTTCTGTGTTCTGTGTTCTGTGTTCAGTGTTCAGTGTTCAGTGTTCTGTGTTCAGTGTTCTGTGTTCTGTGTTCAGTGTTCAGTGTTCAGTGTTCTGTGTTCAGTGTTCAGTGTTCTGTGTTCTGTGTTCTGTGTTCTGACCAGCGGGTGTCGCGATCGAGCGCTTTGAAACAATGTATCGTTTTGACCTGGAGATTCGAAAAGCTCCGTTTCTCACATCGCTGATTTCACGAATGTGTTATTATAATAAACTGATTCATGATTTAGTGAGCTAAATGAGACGCACCTTTTCTGTTACTCACATGTAGATGCGCTCACACAAAATAACGTGCATTAATGTTATATAAAGCATTACAATATAATAAATAACTAATTTTAGATCACTTGTTAAAACTATAAAATAGACTGAACAATTTGCATCGATTTTTTTAACACTTTGATTAGCTAAAAACCACAAACCTTTCTTCAGCCGAACCACAACAGACCCAGAACCGCGGCGCGTCCTAAAAACGTCACATATCCAAACCGAAATAAAAGTCCTATTTAAACGTGTAAAACAATTACTGACAAAAAAAAAAAAAACTTTTTTTATTTTTTTAGAATTTTATCTACAAATTCTAAAACATGTGTCAGCAGGATGCAGAGTTGAATTGTTGTTGAAATACATATTTACAAATCACTTTTTCTATATTGTTGATTGATATTTTTCCCTTAGGATACATAGACAAACAAGGTTTATCTTTATTAGGGTCACAGACACTATAAAAAAAATTTAAAAAGTTCAATAGATAACAGGATGCATATCACAATTTGACAGCAGAAAAACAAATTAATCGGTGTTAGCGCAGTGATATTTGTTATAGTGTAGAGTTAAATAGCTGTTTTTTTTTTTAAGTTATTTGTAGCAGTGAAGAAATAAAACTCAAAAGAGGCAGATGGTTCCTGCCACATAAGGATATGAGATAATGCAAATTTGAAGAAAAACTTTATTAAAGACAGATTTTCATCACAAAGTAACAGTATTTGTTAAATTGATACAAAAAAACTCAAAGAGAAAGAAAGATGTAGTCCTAGATGAAAGCAAGTTTTTCCACAAGCAGAAGGTGTTTATATATTTTAATTTCTTTACAAGATAATAATAATAATAAATTAATGGACTGTGTGATAATTTGCATTATGACTAGTACCATGTTATACCCTTATATACAGTATGCATGTGGGCATTTGGAAACACCTGTTTTCTTGTTTATAAGTTCCTGTCTGTTCCTTAGTTCTCCGTCGGGTCTACTCGTTGTGTACGTCTTCTTTGTGCTCTGGTTCTCCCTGTTGGATTATTAAAGACTCTCGTTTCGTGAAATCTCCACGTCTCCTCGTTCCCGTGCTCCAGCGTATCTTGACAATAAGAAAGTTCCGGATTTGTCCACTGGGGGCAGCATAGAGAGAACTGAAGACGCCTCACCAGTCACACTCTAATTTTAGAAGATGATGAATAAACATCTATTAAACTGAGTTTATTTATTGTTGTTTTTACAGCGTCTAAGAGTTACATCTCTTATTTGTATAGGTCAGATCACTTGGAATAATCCTAGTATAATGTACGTCAGGTTGAGATCATGGTAGAGAGATTTAGAGACCACTTTGGAGGAAGCTTTTCTATATTTCATTAGGTTCAGTGTTCGAATTGAGGGGGGGGGATGGGTCCCGGACCGCTCATTAGCATTAAGGGACCCCCCATAAAGCCCATGAAACGAATGAAAATTAAATTAAAAGTGTTGGTTGCTGTAATAAATTTAGACCTGTTCATGTCACATCACATTTTTGTACGCATTCTTACAGCGTTGCACATTATAACCAATCACACACGATTCTGTTGACTTTATGAACACAATGGCCAATCAGAGGCATCCACATGAATCATCGCTCATGACTCATTGTTTTTGACGAGTTTTTGCGTGCGCGTGCTAAATGAATCTCACAAATGTTCTCATCATAAGCAAAGTGCAGATGTATGAATTACGTAAGTAAGAGATTAATTTATCATACAGTGTATGGACAGCTTCATTGATTATAACAGGAATTTTGAGTGCTTAATCTCTGGCTAGACTGAAGTCAGTGATAATATTATTTAATGCGAATGTTCTTTGCTCGCTTTCTCCATAATTTACTCTGCTGTTTGATTAACTATGTAAATGAAAGCGTTATAATTTATAACTTAGAATGTTTTATTGAGTTGTGATCATTTAAACTTTAATTCAGTCGAATTAAAATATTTCCTGACATCAAATCAGTGTCAGGATTATGTTTAGTTGTCATTGTGTTTCAGTTAGCCTGTTCTCCTTTGACCTAGTTTCCCCTAGTTACCCTGATTAGTTCATTCTATTCACCTGTGTTGTATTAATCATCTCGTTTGCTCCTTAGTTGCCTGCCCTTTATAAGCCCTCAGTTTCTGTCATTCCTTTGTCCTCGATTAATGTTATTTTCAACGGTTATAGTGTGTTGATGCTTATTAAAAACTCCTTTTCTTCTACTCCGTCGTGCGCAATTACTACAACCACAACTAGTGTTGTTTTTGGCGGCCTGTTTTAATTTTAGTTTTAGTCTAGGCTTTGTGTGAAACTGTCATTTTAGTTTTTATTAGTTTTAGTCCCGTTCATACTCTTTTTAGTCTAGTCAAGTTTTAGTCAACTAAAAGGCTGAGCATTTTAGTCTAGTTTTAGTCGACGAAAACTGATGACATTTAGTCTAGTTTTAGTCAATGAAAATTGTATTTTAGTCTCTTTTTAGAAATGCAATTCTATTTAACACACGGAAGACGCTTTGATTTGAATTTACAACATTTATTTTACAAACCAAACAGGTTAGAAGTACACACACATACATTTAAACAAAGACGAACCCCGGCTGGCCGGCCATCGGTCCCTTTCTCTGTGTCAGACTTAACTTTGTTTGGTTTTCGTCTTAGTTTTTATTTTGTAAACCACATTTAGTCTGGTTTTTATTCGTCAACGATATTGCATTATACATTTAATTATAGTCATCGTCACATGACCAGCATTTTCGTCTCGTCTCGTTTTCGTCACGTGATAAAGGTTCATTGACGACGATATTTAGTTATAATTTTCGTTGACGAAAGCAACACTAACCACAACCCCGTGACAGAATCCAGGACCCGTCACTGACAACGATGACATAAAAGGAGGAACGAGCGAGGTTAATCGCCGTGGCACAGGCGAATCCCGACCCGATCGTCTACGAGAGGGCGTTCGTGCCGCTCACCCTCGCCAGCTCCCTCGAGGGGGAAACCCTCGTGATGCTGTTCCGGATCGGGATGACGTTCCACCATCCCACGGAGTATAGTAAGTGGTGCCCCTTCTCCCGATTTTTTTCCCCGTTTTTAAAAGTGTTTTGTTTTTCCTTTTGTTTCTTCCCGCTCACATGGAGGAACGAGCGATGTTAATCGCCGTGGCTCAGACGAGCCCCGACCTTGTCAGTTACGCGAGGGAGTTCGTGCCGCTCGCCCTTGCCAGCTCCCTCGAGGGGGAGACTCTCGTGACGCTGTTCCGGATCGGGATTACTTACCATTGCCCCGCGGAGCTCCCAGACACCACCAACCTCGACTGGAAGGAGGCAGTCATCCAGTGTCTGGAGAGCCTCCGATCCCGATCTGGGACCCCTCCGCCAGCCGTTCCTCAGTCAAGCCCGCCGGCCGCGGCTTTGTCCAGCCCGCCGGCTGTTCCGAAGTCCAGCGCGCCGAAGTCAAGCACGCCGGCCGCGGCTCTTTCCTGCCTGCCGCCCGTTTCTGTGGCAAGCCCGCTGGCCACTCCAAAGTCAAGCCTGTCTGTCATGGCTCACTCCCGCCCAGAGCTCGCTCCAGTGTTGGCTCCAGCCCCAGAGCTCGCTCCAGTGTC